TGCTTGGGCTACCGGTGGAGGGTAGTTTTGATTGTTGTAGACAATGCATGATGATTAGGCAAACTAAAACTAATCAATTGGATATGTCATAGAGTATGACGGTTGATAGAATACATTAACATTATGTATTGATTGATTGTGTATATGACCATTGTGTATATACGTTGTGTGTATGGGAGGAGATAGGGGACGTACTCCACGGTTTAGGGGAAGATAGGGGAGATCCACTCTCAAAAGTGGCTCATTCTCCTCCGCGCCTCTTCGTGTTGATATAGCTCATATGCTTATCTTTGGAAGTATTGATACAGCTCATATGCTTGTCATTGGAAGTGTTGATATAGCTAATATGCATATCTGTTGAAAGGTGGATACAGCTTGTATGCTTATCTGTTGAGATGTTGATACAACTAATATGTTTATCTACTGTAAAATGAGAAATGTTTAATATGAGTCATTGTCTCATATAAGTGGTTGGCCAGGTTCTGAGCCATTGATGTAAATTGTGAAAGTTGACCAGAAATGAAAACTGAAATGAAACATGAACATAGTGGTCATGAAATGGAAATGGATTATGGATTGGTTTATGAAAATTGAACATTTATCAATTGCTAATGTCTTAGTCATTGCTCATACTGTGTTTAGCATATCTCTACTGGGCGTTGGCTCACCCTATATAGGACATTATTTTCAGGTACAGGTAGTATGCCACCTCCAAGGACATAGCTTGGATGATGATGAGAGTTGAAGACTCTTTTTTTGTTTATTTTGATGTATTACATGTAAATTCAAGCCAAGGGCTTAATATGTATTGAGTTAGTACTCTTCTTTTGTAACCAAGTGTTAACTTGGAAAGCTGTAAGCCTATAGGATATTTGCTTTTACTGTTAACATGTAATACAGTTGTAAGAATTACTCTGATGAATAGAAATGATTGAATTCTTAGTATCATTGCTTGTCTAAAATGTTGGGTATTATGTATTATTTTGAGGGCGTTACAACTTGGTATCAGAGCGTACCGGGTTCGAATACTTTGGGTACGTGGGAAGTGATTTGGATCACAATGGGTTCGTCTCGCTTGATAGAGACTTAGATGTAGTGACATGTGCTATGTGTTTAATTGATAACATGCTTACGTGACTATGTGGGTATGGGATTTAGTTTCTAGGATGTTGATTGGATCCTTGGGTTTCTGTGAGTCTTGTTGGAAAGGCACTTGATCAATGCTGTTTCTAACCGGAACTCTAGTAACGCCTCGGGACTATCATTATCTGAAAATGAAATTCGTAAGTGCTTATGTGTTTATGTGCTTACGTGGAGTGAATTACAGTTGTCCATGCATTAGGACGCGAGTGTTATAGCTTCGGCACATTTGTGAATGTGCTAATAGTCTTGGTTTCCTTTATTAGGATGTCAGGACGAGGGCGTGGTAGGCAGGAGATGCCTTTACCGGATGACGTTCCGGCAATGCAGGAGGGAGTTGGCCAGGCCAACGTGGCCGAGCCAGCGGGTCAGCAGGTTGTGGGCGTCTTGGCCCTAGAGATAGCGGGGGCTTTGGGTATTCTCAGAGCTGAGAATCAGGTTGCTGAGGTAGGGCCTTCTTTCTTGAAGAGGGAATTCTTCCGGTCTAACCTGGACGAGTTTGTTGGGGATCCGAAAGAGCCACTTAAGGCTGACGAGTGGTTGGAACAAATGGAAAAGACGTTCGAGATGCTTGGCATCGAGGACGGGGCTTTAAAGGTGACCTTGGCATCCTTCCAACTGAAGGGAGATGCGAGTCAATGGTGGAAGTACGAGAAGGGCAGTGTTGGTAGTGCATGGGAGGCGTTTGTAAATACCTTCCAGGAGAAGTTTTTATCTTCAGCTGCGAGAGAGAAGCTGAGGGAGCAGTTTTGCTAGCTTAGACAGCAGGGCTTGTCAATGGCCGAGTTCGAGGCTACTTTTACTAGTCTGTCCAGGTTTGCACCTGAACTGGTGGCGTCCGAGGAACGCCGTTGCTTTGAGTTTGAGCGGAAGTTGAGGGGAGGCCTCAAGTTGAGGGTTGGTGGATCTTTCATCCGAGAGTATAGGCGTTTGGTGGATGCTGCTGCTCATATGGAGATTATGATGCAGGAGCAAGACGAGGGGCAGAGAGGCTCCAAGAGGAGCCAAGATGGTCAGGGTGATGGCAGGAGACAGAGGGGTTCTAACCCTCAGCAGTCTCAGGGTGTCGTGGCTAGATCGACCTTTCCAGTGCCAAGTGCGGGCTCTGGGAGAGGTAGTCATGGAGGTTTGACCTGTTTCGCGTGTGGCCAGCTGGGTCACAAGTCTTCGGTTTGCCCGCAGAAGGGAGGGGGTCAGCGAGCTGCTTCTTCTTCAGCTAGACCTCAGGGCCAGAGTCAGGGCAGGGGCCAGCCTTTGTCTTGCTATCAGTGTGGTCAGCCTGGGCACCTGAAGAGGTATTGCCCACAGTTGAGTGCTACTTCGGGAGCGTCTGGTTCTAGGCAGACGTAGAGTTATCAGCCAGCTCAGTCTGCGCAGGCCTCGAGGGCCAATCCGGGAGCTTCGTCATCCCAGTCTGCACAGCAGCCTTTTGCTCCTAGAGGTGAGCAGTTGGATCAAGGGCCTACAGGGCGCGTGTATGCTGTTACCGCGTAGGATCTAGTACCGGCTCCATCGGTAGTGAGAGGTACTTTTCTGTTTTGCAACTCGGTTGCTAGCGTGTTGATTGATACGGGTCCATCTCATTCTTTTGTATCTGCTGCATTTGCATCTGTGTTGGAGTTGGAGTTAGTACTATTGACATCTCCTATATGTGTAGTATCGCCTGTTGGTGGTGAGTTGATCTTGAAACAAGTTGTTAGGGGTTGTGATATAGAGGTCGCCGACCATAGGCTTCATTTTCCTTTTGTTGTCATGCCTATGAAGGGTTTTGATGTTATTTTGGGTATGGACTGGCCATCGTCATACCGAGCTGTTATTGATTGCTACTGCCAGAGGGTCACCGTATGTACCTTGAGCGAGGAGGGTTTCCATTTCTTGGGGATCGGGTTGGTAGTGTGTTGCCACCGATGTATGATCCGCGAGGGCAGAATGAGCTTAGTGGTCTACTTGCTAGCTTTATGAGTTTTGAGTGTAATGAGACCCAGATTGTTTTGCCGAGGGTGGTTTGTGAGTATTCGGATGTTTTTCCCGAGAATCTCGTTAGTTTGCCACCTCACCGAGAGATAGAGTTCTTTATTGATTTAGTGTCCGGCACAGCGCCAATTTCTATGGCACCTTATCGTTTTTCCCCAGACGAGTTGAGTGAGTTGAAGATTCAGCTCCAGGAATTGCTAGATAAGGGTTTTGTTCGCCCTAGTGTTTCGCTGTGGGGAGCACCAGCCCTCTTTGCTAAAAAGAAAGATGGTGCCTTGAGATTGTGTATAGACTACCGGAAGTTGAATCGGGCTACGGTCAAGAATAAGTACCCTATGCCCCGTATAGATGATCTGTTTGACTAGTTGAAGGGTTCTCGTTGTTTCTCTAAGATAGACTTGAGATCGGGTTACCACCAGTTGAGGGTCAGGGAGGAGGATATTCCTAAGACGGCATTCCGTACGCGGTATGGCCATTATGAGTTTTTGGTGATGCCATTTGGGCTCACCAATGCACCGGCAGTCTTTATGGATTTGATGAACCAGATCTTCCGTGAATTTTTAGACCGTTTTGTAGTCGTTTTCGTGGACGACATTCTTATCTATTCGCCTTCTGAGGAGGAGCACGAGGAACACTTGAGAGTGGTGCTTGAGTTACTTAGAGCCCATAGGCTGTATGCCAAGTTCGGGAAATGTGAGTTCTAGCTAGGGGAAGTCAAATTCTTAGGCCATGTGGTATCCGGGGAAGGGGTGTCTGTTGATACATCCAAAGTGGAGGCAGTGCAAGATTGGGCACAGCCTAAGAGTGTGTTTGAGATCCGCAGTTTTCTGGGATTAGCTGGGTATTACCGTCGGTTTGTGAAAGATTTCTCCAGGCTAGCTTCGTCGTTGACTAGATTGACGCGGAAAGGGGTCAAGTTTGTATGGAGTGAGACTTGTGAAAAGTCGTTTCAAGAGTTGAAGGTTAGATTGACCACCGCTCTGGTTTTGATTATTCTGGAGAGAGGGTTGGGTTATGCAGTCTATTGTGATGCCTCACGAGAGGGTTTGGGTTGTGTGTTGATGCAAGAGGGGAAAGTGGTAGCTTATGGCTCACGTCAGTTGAATATACACGAGAAGAATTACCCTACACACGACTTAGAGTTAGCAGCAGTGATCTTTGCCTTGAAGATTTGGCCCAAAGACACTTCATGTTCCTACAGGGGAGAAACTTTATGTGTTTGATGCAGCAGCAGTCAGTTCTTTAAATGTTAATTTTCTGCATATACTTTCATCCTGCCTATTCATGTCTTTGTCAGTTTTGTGCCAAATAATAAAACTGTCAACATCTATGATACTAATGCTTTTAATTTCCACAATAATGAACGATGTAATCAGATTTATTGTGAAATTGTTTGTTGCTTATAAATACAATTAGGGTTGTCATCATTAAGAGAGGTCTCATTTTTTTTTTCATGACTTGGGTCTGGAATTCAGCTTCGTTAAACAAAATTTTGTTACTTTGAACAGCATTGTTGAGAAATGAACTTTCATACGCCACAAATAAACAAAAGTAAATCTTATTTGAAGTCATTTCTTGTAAATTATCAATTCCTGAAAGATAGTAATAATATTCCCTATTACAATTTACTCTTCATTACTAAATTTTTGTGGTCAATCCACTTTTTCAGAGGTGCAAGGCTGCTAGACAGGATACTATTGTATTGGCTGGAGCAGAGTATGGAAGTGGAAGCTCTCGTGATTGGGCTGCTAAAGGCCCAATGTTGTTGGTGAGTATTGTTATATGGGCACTTGAACTAGTTCGCACTTCTCCATCCATTTTGGCTTGTATTATGTCGTCTTCTGCTCCTTTTAGTAACTATTGGAATGTAACAGGGAGTTAAAGCAATGATTGCAAAAAGTTTTGAGAGGATCCATCGCAGTAATTTGGTTGGATGGGTATTGTTCCGCTTTGTTTCAAGCCTGGTGAAGATGCAGACTCACTTGGCTTGACAGGTCATGAGGGTTATACCATTGACCTTCCCAGTAAAATTAACGAGATAAGGCCTGGTCAAGATGTTACTGTTAGGACTGACACTGGAAAATCTTTCACCTGCACAGTTCGCTTTGACACCGAGGTACTTCTTTCTTTCTTAAGGTTGTGTTTTTGTTGTTGTGGAAAATAGTGGCATGTAATTCTTATTAGAAAGAAAATAAAGGGACCATGTGGCTTATGATCTGTTAAACCCATAGTTTCTTGTGCTTGGTAAGAAAGAGTATTCTTACTTGCTTACAACCAATTTATAGTTTTCTGAGATGAACTATTATACATATGCTTACTGTAAATTTGTGGGAATTAATTATCAATGTAATCAGGGAAAAACAAAATCCATCTACCGTTGTTGTTTGAAAACCATCACAATTCAGGCAAATATTGTTTTAAAATCTACAAAATTCACGCAAAGTTCTAGAAATCACCTTATGTTCTCTTTCTGTTTGCTTCCTATATATTTCTTCCAAAAAGAAAGGAAAAAACACTTTTAGGGCATGTTTGATTGGGTGGATTAGAGCATGGGATTGGGATTATTAATCCGTGGGCCCAATTATCCAATGTTTGTTTTAACATTTTGGTCTAGGATTATTAATCCAATGGATAATTAATCCAACAAATTTGTAGGATTATTAGTAATATGGTAGGGGTGGGATTATTAATCCAATGGATATTAATCCAATTGGATAATGAATACCACACTAATTTAATAGGATTATTAATACTTCACTATTAATCTTGTGAATCAAACATGACCTTAGTGAAGTGGCCCCATCTAATAAGTTGTGGTAATAATAGCGCCCATTGATTTTTTGTTTATTAAGCCCCAAGTCCCAAACCTGTTCGGTAACTTTCCTATTGCATTACTTGGTTTTAGTTGTTTCTTCTCTAAATTTTAGTCCAACCTATCTCAAGAGAAATTTGACTTCTTGTCGAAATTTATATCAAAATCTAACCCTCCAACAACTATAGAAGACTAAAATTTTATTTACTAGATGAAAAAGATAACATAATGAGAGATATACTGCCTATTGGAATTCCTTTTTGTTATGAATAGTTGACTTAAAATTTGGGTATCTACACTTTCTTGCATTCTTTTTCTTGACAAATAGAACATTTTGGTATAATTCGTGTTCAAAAGATAAATTATTTCTTAGATCGATATATAGAAAATACCACAAAAGGGTTTGAAATTTAAACTATAAAATTTTAAAATAAGAGACATTAAAAAAACTGATTTCACAACTTGTATAAGGACTTCTATGTGAATTGCATTTTAGTGAAGAGATGTCGAACATATAACTTTTCAACTAAGTGTGCACGCCTAAATTGGCCCATGAAGATAAAATTTGTGGAGCCAACGCTATGTACATATGATATGTTTTCCTGATTATTTATCTAGCAAAAGGAGAAGATTTATGCATGTGCATGTGCATGCGCATGTTCATGTGTTATCTACCCCTTTTTTATTCGGAAGATGTTTGCGAGCTTAAGCTCTGAGCTGTTGCTAACTATTCCTTTAATTGTAATTATAGGTGGAATTGGCATATTTTGACCATGGAGGCATCCTTCCTCATGTTATTTGGCAACTGATTACATAATAATTGATATTAGTCTTCAGCAGCTTGCTCCTCCATTGAGCTGTTCCAGTTCTAATACGTGAGAAGAGAATAAAGTTTGTAAGAATATAAGCTAATCCCTTGCAGGGATCGGGGATTTTCAATTTACTTCCACCTGGCAGGCAAGTTCATGTGCCAACGAAAGGTAGAACAAATTTTTGTAATGAAGTCCTCTTTTCTTTTTTCCCCTTAGATTATTGCCTGTTTTGGTGCTTGAATGTCGTCCTTTGGGGTCTCACTAAATCACTTTCGTAAGTGCTTGTTGATTTAGATTGTGTGTTTTGGATTTTTGGGATTTGGAATATTTGAATCTTGATCTAATCACGAATCACTTAGGATTTTCATAGTATATAACCATTCAACCATTAACATGTAAAAATTCTAAAGATTAAATCATGTAATCTAGTCTAGAGAATAATAAGCATGTAACAAATTAAAACCTAGAATAGAATAGAATTAGCATGTCAAAATTGCAACATCAATAAATTATATTTTATAACCTTAAAATTCATGGAAATCATAGAAGGGGAATGATGAACCATACTCATAAAATAAGATTAGAGTAATACAATTAAGTATACAAATTATGATAGAGCATTCTAATTAAACTAAACAATTAGAGAATCACATTGCATAATTTACAATCATTGAAATAGGGAGCAATTCCACAACAGTTCCTAGTAACATTATACAAATGTCTATATAAATCTATTCGATCAATTTCATAGGAAAACATATATGAAAAATCTGTTTTAAACTTGTTGTTCAAATTTTGAAATTAAATAAATAGATTTATGAAGAAATCAAATTATATATATACTAAGAACACATGCTAATAATTACAACTAAATTTCAACAGAAATACACAAAACAATAAAAGGGTAAAGAGACGAAACCGAAGCCTGCACGGAAGCAGTTTCCTTAAAACAGATTTCGCCGCCTCACTGGTCGAGTGCTTGAGGAATCCCGACGTCTGTCTCCCAGGATACGACGATCAAAACCAGCTACGGCAGAAGCACTCTCTGTCTAGCTTAGCGAACAAAACAGTGGCAGTACTCTCTCACTGTAGGAACTTTCAGGCAAACTAACTTGTGAAATGGAAGTAAAAATTTATGTGTTTGAGACTTGACAGGAGAGTCTCAATTTATACATGTATATGGGAGAGAGGAAGAGCCTCCAGCCTTTATGGCTGTTCATAATTGTAACGCCCTTAAAATAAACCCATAATAATCCATAACATTAACATGCATTTATAAAAGAAAACGAATCATTTGAGTTATTCATCAGAGTATTCTTATTGAAAGACATCACATGTAACATCCTGCAACATCAAAATAAATGCCCTAAGGGCTTACATCTTTCCAAGCTATCACTTGGACACAAAAAGGATGAGTACTAACTCATTTACAAGTTAAGCCCTAGGCTTGAATGTTTACATGAAATCTCAAAATAACAAAATAAAACATATAACTAAAGACAAGTCTTCAAAATCCCAAATATCAAATCCTTCCAGGCTAAGTCCGTGGGGGTAGCTTATCACCTGAACCTGAAAATGATGTTCCCTTAAAGGGTGAGCCACAGCCTAGTAGAAAAATACTAAACCAAGTATAAGCATTGAATAAAGCTATAGCATTCAATAGATGGTTAACCAAGATAATCAATTTTATCATTAAACAGTCTCATGACACTAATGTCTAAGACACATTTCACTTTCCATTATTATCAACATGGCTCAGAACCTGGCCAAACTTACAACAGTGAATTATATATCATATTCACATTACTTCCAATATCAACAAAACAAATGAGACTCGTGCTCATATCAAAACACTTCATACTTCCTATTTGATACACATTTTAGTGTTGTATCAATAATCATGTAAAAACCTTCTAATATCAATAGCACACATAAAAATGGTGCTAATGGAGTCCATCCCCTATCTCCTCCCAAACAAATTTCGGTTTAGAGGTCCATCCCCTATCTTCCCCTAAACCGTGGAGTACATCCCCTATCTCCTCCCAAACAATATGCATATGCAATGCTCAATCAATACATGTAATTTCTGTATTAATTCAATAGTCTAAATTTATGACTTAACAAATTGATTAGTTTCAATTTTCTCTAATCTGCATGCAATGTCTACAACAAGCACGACTATCCTCCACCGATAGCCCAAAACAGTTGTTTCTTGACTCGAAAAATAAATACCAACTACACCATTTAATCAATAAATTCCCCAATTTCATGGATTAATTACTCAAATCAATTTAGCAATTCAACTAGGGTTTTTTTTCCCAAAATTTTCAAAGTGTCCCCAACCTATCAAAATACCAAACTTAGAACAAAGCATATAAAATGGAGTAGGAAAATCCCTACCTCGAAGAAAATAACCCGTATGGAGAAGATGGAGATAAAGACCAAAGACCAACGTGCTCCAAATCCTAAGTTTCTCAGATTAAAACGAAGCCCTCAACTCACTCTAGCTTTTTAATAAAGGATCTAAGGTAGAAACTCACTCTAAGTAGATCAGTCTAAAGAGAGAAGGTGTGTAGAGGGAGAGAGAGATAAAAACACTCCACAGAGGCGGTTTTTAAAAGTTATGAAGGAAAAGTAGGTCAAAAAGTGATCCAAAAAGTGAAATCACGGACTGATATAATCGACTCTACGCTCGAGCGTAGAAAGCCCCGCTCGAGCATAAGACACAGAATCATGCTCGAGCGTGAAGAAAGCCGCTCGAGCGTCGATTGCACCCTTCCAGAAGTTTTGCAGGCGCTGGCACCCGCTCGAGCGGAAGAACTGCAGAGCAAAATACTAGGAGATGGAAAATCACGCTCGAGCGTCAAAATTCCCGCTCGAGCGGAGAAGCAACAACGAAGGGACCGCTCGAGCGTTAAAACTTCCGCTCGAGCGTGAAGGCCAAAATCTGGGCATCACCTATTGGCATCTAAAATCAACCAACCTGTAACAGACCCGCCCAACACAACCTATACTTCAAATACGAAGAGATTAAAGGACAACAACAACCAATAAGTAATGACAGGATCCACGGAACCTAAGTCCGGATACAATAATTTAAAGAGAAAAGACCGGGGTCGCTATAGGTTCCAAGGTAGTTCTAAGTGTGGAAAGGTTCCAAAGTGTCTAGGCTTAAGATGACCTCGGCAACACACCAGGCAAGAACAAGGCACGCAAGCAACACTTAAGCAAAACAAGACAAGATTTGCAAATGTAACATAACAAGGCAAGATCACACATAAATGCATGCAAGTATGACTAAGTTGGAGTGAGGGTTGTTACACACATGGCTTGGATATCAGTTGTTTCACCATAAGTGGATTTTTTCCCCCATTTGTACAGTGAAAAAATTCCAACCATGTCATTTTGTATGATTTTATTTTATTTTATTATTTATTTATTTATTTATTTTCCATGCCGCAAATTGTTTGTATAATTACAATTTTAGCTTATTCAGTATTCACCAGAAAAATGGAAAAAAATTCACTTATTTTATGGTGAAACAAATGATGTTAAAGCTATGTGTTTCCACAACAAATTTTAGTGGCACAAATGTATCCAAACTCCTATTACACAATAATTGTAACAAGAGAAGGCAGCAGAGTTTCTGTCATGCTGTTGGAACCACCCTATTGGATCAGTTGCACTAAGGATGTTTGTTCATATGGTTGGTCTGGTTCTGATACCAATTGTAATGTCAGTTGATACATTAATTTGCAAGTAAAAATGCATCTTGATGGGCTGCTTGTGGCTCTATCGAACATGAAATAAAGGTTTTACAAATAGAGTGATACTACAATGACTATATTTTTTATCTCACCATATGATGTGTTGGCCCAGTTATCAACATTGTATTGGAAATATACATGCATGGTGAGACCAATGGTGATAATATTATGTAAATAAGTAACATAATAAATATAATATGGTACAAAAACGTGACTAGTGTAACATAATTATTACAAATAAGAATTGGCTATCTAAGTATGTTCTTGGTTTCTATTGCATGAGCATTGATCCATATGAACCATATCACTGATTTGAAACAATTTCTACATGGATTTCTTCACTAATGATGGTTCATTGCCATTATCATCACTTGAGTTATGTTTTCCTTCGAATTAATTTTCTGAAGTTTACAATTGTTGAACCATGTTGTTTGTTACTAGTAAATTGGCTTAATGGTTGTCGGAACTTGTGATCATGGACTGGCATACTAAAATGTTTTGAAGCAAGATCAATTCTAGCAGTTGAAAATGGATCACAACTTTTGTGCTTCAAAATTAATTATTAGTGGTGATGTTACATTATACTCGTAGAAGTGTAATGTTATACAAATAATTTTTTTGTACAAAAAATTTATACACAATGATGTGGACTTTTATGATTATTCCATTTGAAGACAAAATACTCATTATTATAGCTTATAATTATAAAAATGACATTGCTACATCATTTATATATATGTTTTTTATATCATATGTTCTTGTTCAATTTTTTAAATCATTTGTCCTTGTAGGATTGCAAATAAAGGATGGATGATTGATGTGCAATGCATAAAAAGCATACAACAAAAAATCTAGCACAGTTGAAATGATTAAAGAGCGGGATTTAACTAACATTCAAATTAGTACCAACATAAAAACAAGTACTGTTGTATAATGTTTCTAATCAAGATTTGTTTACATGAGAGAGAGAGAGAGAGAGAGAGAGAGAGCAATGAATAATGTTTGGAAACAATCCATTTTTTAGGAAACATGAATATGTTATTTTAAAATTTTCAAGAATTGTTTTCACACAAAGATGAAAAAGGTGACTGTTTTCGTAACTTTTCATAGTTTTGTTTCCAAAAACATGAAAAATAAAAACACAACCCAATAGGTTAGTCTTCTGGGATGCTTTGCAGAGCTGGCCTCCATGCACCATTTGTGCTTCCATCACTTGTTCTAACTTGAGAAATCTTTCTGCTTTTCAGCTTCATTGCACTCAACAATTGCCCCACAGAAGAGTACTTCGACTTATTACTCAAAATCTGAATCAATTCTCTCTGTGTCACCACAACTCTAATCCTCACACCTCCACCTTTTGAATAGCCATTATTACTTTCTTCTCCATTTCCACCTTCTTCATGTAGCTTGAACCTTTCATTCTCCTTCTCCTTCTCACCATTGACATGCCTCTTTGGTTCTGATTTTGGTGAACTAATTGACTTCCTTTCTATTGCTTCTTCTTCTCTTCGTTCCGCATCTTTCTCATAATGGACTGAAATTCCTTTACTAGTCAAACAATTCCCCATTGTAGAGATTAAAGAAACTAAAAGGCGTATTTGAGAAGAGAGAGGAAGAGAGAGAAAGAGAGGGAGGGGAGAGAAAGAGAGCTAGAATATAAAGAGAAAAGGGTGGAGAGAGGCATGAGTGTCCGGTTATTATGCCATGTGTTTGGTTGAAAGAACAAATAATTTTATAGAGACAAAAATCTTTCATGTAATTGATCACAAAAAATAATCAATAATCATATGTTAGATGAGGGGATCTGTCACTAAAGTGATGTAGAACAAGTAACTGGAAAATTTTTAGAATAATTGAACTGACAAAAACCAAAAAAAAGGGTCAAATTTCGAGTTCTCAAATTTGGTAGTTGGGTCAGAAATGATGTTTTAAATCAATATCATAGTTGTTCTCCCCAATGATGCACGGTGAATGTTAGTCAAATTCCTTTGTCGAGGCCTTCAAGTCAATGATTTTTCCATTTTAAGAAAGTTTTGTTTTAAAAATAACTCCGTATGTTTTGACATGTTTTTAATATTTTCTAATATTCAAAGACTTGACTCAAATTTGTTATTTTTTAAATTTTTATTATTTTTTATTTATTTTTGTGTCGAGCAAGTAATTATCCTAATTAGTTTGTTGCCTTGTTTAATTAGAGTTTCGTTTATTATAAATAATGATGTATACCTTTGGCTAGTAGAGCTTTTATCAATAATATTCAATTTCTTTTTAAAAATTCTTATTTTCTTTGTACATTCAAAATTTTCTTTTTGTAAACTTAAAATTCTTCATCTAGTTTATGTGTAATATTTCATACAAAAGCTGCTTCATTCACGCTATTTTATTTATAATTTTATGATCGATTCTTTGATTGATTATATGTCGATAAATTATTGAGGTAGGAAATACAAGATATATTTGCTTGACACTAACACCACCCGTAAAATATGCATATGATATAGCAATATGTTTTTGTATCATGAGAGCACATATATTTTAGAAAGGTATATTTGTTTGTTAATTTCTGACAAAAGCATTCTGTTGAAAGAGTATGGGTCCACCAGAGAGAAATTTATGCCTTGGGGTAGTTGGAGATGATCAAAGCCATCCTCAAATGTAGAAACTTTTCATTGATTATAGATATACAATATGGATATATCATCTTTGATTAGATTTGTTGAGAACAATCCAAATTTGTTTCAGCTAAGCTTCTTAGCGCAAAAAGGGAATGGCATTTCTCAGGTTGCTTGTAGCGATGAGCCAATTTAGGTTACAAAGGAACAGTTTTTGGGAGATTTGTTTCTTGGAAATGTCTTCTTTTTCCACAAAAAGGCAAGAGTTCCATGAAAAGTAAATATACTTGGCTTGAGGTTTGTGCTAGCATATGATTGAGTAGGTCTCTTGGTGCCAATGTAGTTGGGATTGAATTGTTCTACTATAATCCTCTTTTGCACTTCCTTCCCTTCATCGATGCAAGACTCATATGTAGTTATGCCTTTTTCTATTAATAAAGTTCTTTCTTTTGCTAAAAAAAAAAAAAAAAAACTTGCAATATTTTGAAAATTTGAACACTTCAAATTAGTTGCATAAATTTATTTGTAAACCATTTTTGAAATATTATTTCCAACAAAATAAAAAAATTTAGATGGTTGTTTTTGAATTTTGGGAAACAATTTTTGACTTGACAATGAAAAAAAATATGCTTTTGATAAAAAAATAGAAAAAAAAAACAATAAAAGATATGTAAAAACGGTGCATATTTTTGAACTCCTCTGTATTTTGTATTCAAAAAACTGAAAAAAGAAAAATGATTAAAAAAAAAAAAAACAACAACAAAAGTATTTTGAGAGTTTCTAATTGCACCCACCGTTTTTCCAAGTCTACCCACAATATTCTAAGCACACAAACTTCATAAATTTAAAATTTGTAATTTTTCTAAGTACACCCACTTTAATACCAAAATTACCTAATCTTCTTCTTCTTTACTCTTTACAATCACCCATTATTGGCCGTATATCATCACTATCAGGTTTTTCCTTATCGACCTATTAGCACCTCCCATACCCTTGAATCCCTAACTGAAATGAGAAGAAAAGGAAGAGGAGGAGGAGGAGGAGGAGAAGGAGGAGGAGTAGAGGAACAAAGGCGTATCGGGAGGGAAAGGGGTGGTCTGGGACGTCAAGAAAGGTGAATGAAGGAGGTGGTGGAAGAGTTGAAGATCTTTTGTTTTTCTGTTTTATTTTTTTAATGTTTTGTAATTTTGTCCCTCTTGATAAGTAAAATTATAATATATATATATATATATTTGTAAATGTAATAAAAAAATTGATTGTGCAATTAGAAGGTCCCAATATTTTAGCAAAATGATTTGGTATACCCAACTTTTTGTCATAACCATCTTATTACTTATATTATCTAATGTTCATCTCATATCCATACATAATTCATAAGATCCAATGAACAGCCGTATCCATACCAAATTAGTACATTTTATGGGTACGTCTAATGTTTATCTCATATCCATTGTTTGAATTGCCTCAATCTTCTCATGTATTTGTTGGAGTTTCATTCTTCCACTGTAAAATTTTTTTTGTATTAATTATGTACGTATTTGATCTTTACTATTAGGATTATAATTTATTAAATTTCATTGTAACATTATGCGTAGACTACACATATAAACTTGTGTATTCACCTCTAGTTGAGGGCCAATTCTAAAAGGTATCAAATTCTATAATTTTCTTAAAAGACATCAAATAAACTCGCTTATGACCCTAAGTAATATATGATATTATGTCTCTTAAGGGAATGTTATTAGCTACGCTTAATTGGGTTGATTTTGATTATGAATTAAAGTAACCTTTAAATAATCACGGTTATGAACTAAAGTGGTGAAAGACCCATATTTGAGATTAAGAGAATCTAATCATTAAAAGATAGAGGTCAAAATGCATACTATTCCATATATGGATTACAACCGATGGTGGCGGTGTCATCGGTTTCTTTCTCCATGTAGTGTGTTACTTACATTTAACTAATTTTAAATTTATGTTACGTAACTCATTTCAAAATAAATTTATGATCTATAGCATTTCTAACAATAAATACAAGTTCAGCTCAGCAATTTCAAACTTCTGCATTGTCTATAATGTACTTAAAAAAGGTTGCTGAAATTTTATGGGATTTGTTTAGGAGAATCTTATTGGATGGTCATTCCATGTGAAAGGGGTGATCCATATTTTTCTTCATCTTTATATGAAACCATGCTGGAGGTTGCCAGAAGAATAGAGAAGCTTGGAGAAGCTTCAAGGTGGTCAACAATGGTTGCCACCAAACCTGCCAAACTTGACCACCGGCCAGCCGTAAGATAAGGCGGCTGCCAATCTTGTTTTCACACTCCTTAGATTTGTGTATAAATGAGAGGAAAGAGAGGCAAGGAAGATGGTGAAAAAAAAAGAGCAAGCAAAATAGAGTGAGAGATGTAATAGAGAGATCATCTCTCTCAATGTGAGAGAGGGAGACGGCGGAGTATGTTGAGTTGAGTGAGAGTATCTCCTCCTTCATTATATTCTCTATGTAATCTTTCCATTTATAGTGATTATTGTTTTCTCTTCCATGGACATAGGCATTGGGCTGAACCACGTTAAATTTGTTTGTCTTCTTTGTGTGTGGCTTGTTCTAGACATTTTGGGAGGGATTCCCGAATCCCAATAAGTGGTATCAGAGCCTTGGTAATGAAAAACAAAACGTTTTTCCGAATTTTCCAGAAATCAAGTTGCTTAAAATCGAGTTTTGAGCACACCATGTGTAACGCCCTCAAAATATGATATAAATCAACCATTCATAAAATCTATAGACATAATAGAAATGTTATATTTTCATTCATCAGAGTCTATATTACAAAAGATATTACATGCATTACACTTTCATAAATATTCATCTTGAAACTATAGCATGTAACTCTAATTGTTAACAACAAAATAAGTTCCCTACGGGCTTACATCTTTCCAAGTTGTCACTTGGTTACAACAAAAGAAGAATCTTAACTCTATACATATAAAGCCCTCGGCTTGAATTTACATTAAACACAAAACAAAATATGCAAAATGGAGCCTTCAGCCCTTAAATCTCCCAAGCTATGTCCTTGGAGGCGGCATGTCACCTGCACCTGAAAATGGTTTCCCAAGTAGGGTGAGCCAAAGCCCAGTAGAGATATGCTAAACAATATATGAGAATTAACTAAAATATGAGCATCAAATAAATGTGCAACATTCTTAACCAACACATATTCCTTTCAAGGTCATTCAATATAGATAACCAATATCTCAATTCATTTCTATTCTTCCACTTTGGGTAAATCAATTAACCAAATTCATTATTATCAAAACAGCCAATATGAGACTACAACTCAATGGTTCCCAATTCAATACATTCATTAATCCAACACTTCTATTTCTTGCCATTTTACGAAACCACGTCCGAGGGAACCGACACCCATAAATATATAAGATTTCGGGACTTTCACCCTGGACACTCCGGCTAACTTAATTCTCAATGGAGTCTATCCCCTATCTCCTCCCACACAATGGAGTACATCCACTATCTCCTTCCAAACAATGATACATATACAATGTATTTAAACACGTTCTCATATACAATGACAAATCAAAACACATATTCAATGGTTCAATCAAACCGTCATATTCAATGACATAATTCAGTTGATTGGTTTCAATCTTCCTAATTTTCATGCAGTTTTTACAACAATCATAGCTATCCTCCACTGATAGCCCAAAACAGATATTTCTAAATAAATAAATAAATCTATCAATAGATAATTTATCAAATTCCCATAAGTGAGTGATTTATCAAATCCAACTACACCATTCATTTACACATTCCCCCAATTTCGTATGACTCATTCCAGTGATTAGTTTCCGTTTGCCTAATCATCATGCATTGTCTACAACAATCACGACTATCCTCCACCGATAGCCCAAAGCAGTTATTTCTATACAGAAAATAAATG